CGTCCGCCCCCCTACCCCTCCCCCTCCAACCCCTTCCCCTCCCCTTGTGGCCGGCCTGCGTGGGCTCACCTCGGTGTCGGCCTCCGGCGATGAGGGGAGTAGCGGGACATCGCCTTCGGCGCCGGCCAAGTGCATCGCCGGTGGCCGACGTGACAAGCGGCAGGTCGACATGGGTCTGCAGTCAACGTCGACAGGGGAGAAGCGGGTCGAGGAGCAGCGGCCGACAAAGGAGCAGGCTGCCGTGAAGCCGACCACGGAGCAGTCGGCGACCGGGCCGTCGGCAGGGGAGCCGACCACAGGGGAGAAGTCGGCTGGGAAGTCGACCGCAGTGGAGCAGTCGGCTGGGACGCCGGCTGAGGAACAGCAGGGCGCCGAGGGCAGCGACGACAGCGACGATGGAGGGGATGCCGAGGAGGCCCAGCCGGGACCACGGCGTTCAGGCCGACTTCGGAGGCCGCCTGACTTCTTCGTCCCCGCTGCCTTCACCACGGTGTATGATGTGGACGATGACGACGACCTGCTGTACGATGACGCCGAGGAGGATGAGGAGTTTCCAGAGCTCGACCCCGACATGCTAGCCGACCCCGAGCACCGTTGGGACATCTCGACGATGACGGTGAAGGAGGCGTTGGCGAGCTGGAAGGGCCCGGCGGTGAAAGCCGCCATGGAGGAGGAGATTCGCAGCCTCATCAACATGGGCACTTGGGAGCTGGTCGAACGCCCGCCGGGGGTGAACGTCATGAAGAACCGGTGGGTGTTGACGACGAAGTACCACATCGACGACATTGTCGAGCGAGAGAAGGCGAGGCTGGTCGTGAAGGGCTTCACACAGGTGTACGTCGCCGACTACGACAAGACGTTCGCTCCGGTGAGCAGCTACGTCACGTTGAGGATCTTCCTCAGCATCTTCGCTGTCCTCAACCTCAACCTGATGCAGCTCGACATGAAGAACGCCTTCCTGCAGAGCAAGCTCGATCGGGTGTTGTACATGTCCCAGCCGGACTACTTCAACGATGGAACCGGCCGGGTGTGTAAGCTGCTGAAGAGCCTGTACGGGCTGAAGCAGTCGCCGCTGTTGTGGTACTTGGTGCTCAACGATGTGCTGGTCGGCGCTGGGTGGAAGAAGAGCCAGGTCAACGAGGCTCTTTACTTCAAGATCGGCGAGGGTGGAGTGGCCTGCTGGGTTCTGGTCTATGTCGACGACTTGCTTGCCGCTAGCAGCAGCACCGTGATGCTGAAGGAGCTGCTGGAAGCTGCCTTCGAGCTGCGCGAGATCTCGCCGGTGCAGAAGTACCTCGGGCTGGAGATCGTGCGCGACAGGTCGGCGGGGAAGCTGTGGTTGCACCAGCAGGGCTACGCCGACAAGCTGCAGAGGCGCTTCCTCGACGAGGAGGAGATCGGGCGCACTCCAAAGACACCGGTCTCGGTCGATGCCTACGCCGAGCTCACCTTCGATGACGAGGAGGCGCAGGAACAGCAGGAGGAGGGAGTACCGGCAGAAGGTCGGCTCGCTGCAGTTCGCGGCGACGATGACGAGGCCGGACATCGCCTTCGCCTGCAGCAAGCTGGGGAGCGGCCTCACGGTGAGGAGCGACCAGCACTGGCGCGAGGTCGACCGCTGCCTCGCCTACCTCGCCAACACACGTGACACCGCCCTGGAGTTCGGCGGTGGACCTGAGTCGCTGGAGCTGGTCGGCTACGTGGACGCCGACGACGCCGGTGACAAGCAGAACAGGACGAGCACGAGCGGCTACGTGTTTGTCTACGGAGGGGCTGCAGTCTCCTGGTCGAGCCAGCACATTAAGTGCGCGACGTTGTCATCGACCGAGTCGGAGTATGTGGCAGCCACTGAAGCTGGCATGGAGGGACGCCGCCTTCGTTTCCTCCTCGCAGAATTCCGGCAACTGGACGCCGGAAAGCCGTCTGTCCTGCGCGTGGACAATAAGTCGGCTATCACGGTCGCCGAGGGCATGGGGTTGACAGGCAACCTCAAGCACATGGAGCGGCGACAGGCCTGACTGCAGCACATGGTGAAGCGCGGGAAGTTCTCGCTGCAGTACATCCCAACCGCTGAGCAGCCGGCCGACTTCCTGACGAAGGCGCTGCACTATCCGGCCTTCAACCGGTGCTCCATCGCAATCGGCCTAGTGCGTCTGGCAGACGTGGGCGACGGCGACAACGATGTGCAGCAGTAGGTGCCATGCCCTTTTGCATGGCTGGTGCGGTGACTGGCGTGCTGTGTGTTGGACGCACGCCGACTGGCTATTCTCGGAGCTGTACTGCCGTATGGGCTGGGGGCCCAAGCGTGATCGCGGCAGGGGAGTGTCAACGGGAGTTGTGTATTGGCCCCGTCCTTGCTTGGGCGGCGCTGACTTCGTGGTTGGGTGTGAGGGGAGCAGGCGACCTGCAGCAATGGGTGAGCTGGTCGACGAGGAGGTCGACCTGCACGGGGGACCACTGCACGGGCGCCGACTTCAGAGAGGTCGACTTGGGAGTCGACCTGCGGAGGACGTCAACTTGGTGACGTCAACTTGGGGAAGCCGACTTCGACGGTCGGCTAACGGACTGCTGGTCGACCTGTTAGCGGTTGACTGGACCTGGTGGTCGATGAAGGAGGGGCCGACGTCGATCTCGACTCAGGACGCCGAGCAGTTGGGCGTCGAGTAGCGGGGCGTCAACTTCGTGACGCCAGCTTCGGGTGGCTGACGTGGGTGGTCGGCCGAAGACTGTGCTGGTCGACGTGGAGCTGGTCGACCAGAGGGGACGTCGACCTCGAGGAGGTCGACCGATGGTGTCGTCAACCTGGTGAGGTTGACGTGGAGGTGGTCGTCGACTTGGGAGGACGACGGGCACGTATGGGAGCTGTTGGTCAACGTGGTTGCCTGGTCGACCAGGTTACCTGGGTGACGAAGTGTTGCGGAGGAGTGCGACGGTCGCCCAGGCGCAGTTGGCGAGCCCGACCTCGGTGGTGGTATCCCGAGGTCGTCGTGGCGGATCAGAGGCAGTTGTCAGCTCGAGGTTGACGTGGTGTGTGCGGTGTGCAGGTGACGAGACTCTGCACGCCAATCATCTGCGCGCAACTGCGAAGCAGGGTGCACTGCTGTCCTGGCGTGAGCAACGCTGTCGCGCCGTCAACCTGCGACGTTGGCACGCCGTCGTCCTTGCCTTGCTGGAGCGCGGTCGACCAAGTCGTGCTGGAACGCGGTCGACCAAGCTGCGCTGGCAGTTGGCCGACCTGAATGCTTGCTCTGATGTAGTCTTGCTATGCCAACTTCATTGTACCAATTGTTCAAAAAAAAAACTTTTCCTAGTGGAACTCTTGCCAACTTTCCCCGTGAACTAGCAAGTAGTGTGCGCACAAGGAAAACGACTAAGGAACAGAGAACGCAGAGATCACACGAGCACACGTGCCTAGCCTGCAGTCTAGCTCCCATTGTAGTAGTTATCTTCACATAGCACTCCCTAGGTGCAGCAGTATTGCACTCGTGATTATCGAAGCAACGCAAGCAGTAGTATCGGATCAACCCGTATCAAGGGCAGGAAGGTCATCACTCGCAAGAGACAACTGTCACGACTGTTGACCATCTGGACCAACGCTTGACCTACTCTTGAGGAATGGCAACAGGCATAACCGTACACCGGTTACATGCAACGACTCGGTAACAAGATTGGAAGAACAACAGTCAGAGTCACTGTAGAATGCATGTAAAAGTAGTTAAAATAAGGGAATGTACCCCTCAGAGTACATGGCTAGCTAGAACTATTTATTATGTGTGTAATCTATGTTTTAATCAACTTTGTGGTTTACATTTGTCAAACTCATATTATATAGCTTGTGTAGGCTATAGTGGGGTAGACACTATGGGGTAAAGTTTCCTAGGGTTTCCTACTTGTACCCGACTTTGTGCTAGCTCATTTCATTCCTCGATTCTAACATGGTATAGAGCAGATTCCCTCGTAGGAACTTCCTAGGGCCCACCACTGAACTTCGACTTTTTTTTTCTGCCCTGAGATCGAGTCGCTCCTTACCGAAGCGCGCCCAGTGTGCCGCCCTCCCCTTAGCGACCCGTCGCGCCGCCCTCAGCGGCCCTCCCCCTCTCTCACGGCCCCTGGCGACCCCGTCGCCGCTCTCCTAGCGGCCCGTCGCGCCGCCCTCAGCGGCCCCTCCTCCATGGCCCCGTCGCCGCCCTATCGTGGCCCCGTCGCCGCCCTATCGCAACCCCGTCGCCACCCTCTTGCGGCCCCGTCGCCGCCCTAACGCGGCCCCGTCGCCGCCCTATTGCGGCCCCGTCGCCGCCCTCTCGAGGCCCCGTCGCCGCCCTATCGCGGCCCCGTCGCCTCCCTCTCGCGGCCCCGTCGCCGCCGTTCGCGGCCCCGTCGCCGCTCGTAGCGGCCCTGCAGCCACCCCTCGCGGCCTTGTCGCCGCCCTCTCGCGGCAGCATTGCCGCCCTCTAGCGGCCCCCGTTGCCGCCTTCTTGCGGCACCGTCGCCGCCCTCTCGAGGCCCCGTCACCGCCCTATCGCGGCCCCGTTGCCTCCCTCTCGCGGCCGCGTCGCCGCCCTCTAGCGGCCCCCGTCGCCGCCCTCTTGCAGCCCCCCGTCGCCGCCCTCTAGCGGCCTAGTCGCCGCCCCTCCGCGGCCCCACTACCGCTCCTAAGCGGCCCCAACGCCGCCTCCTACGCGGCCTCGACGCCGCCTCTACCGAGCCGCCCAGCAGCGGAGCCGCCGAGCCGCCCAGCAGCAGAGCCGCCGAGCCGCCCAGCAGCCGAGCCGCCCGACAGCCGAGCAGCCGAGCCGCCCGACCGCCAGGCCGCCCAGCAGCCGAGCCGCCCAACAACCAAGCCACCTAGCCGCCGAGCCGCCCGACAGCCGAGCCGCCCAGCAGCCGAATCGCCGAGCCGCCCAGCAGCGGAGCCGCTGAGCAGCTCCCAGTCCTACCGACACGCCCCGGCCCTACTTACTCGTATTGGTGAGCCCACTACTTGCTAGACCTCTGCAGTCATGGCTACCCCCAGTGTTCTTACATTTGACACTAAGGGCCGTGCTGTTGACTTTGAGGTCTGGGTCGATGACCTCCAGTTGTTCCTCCAGTGCGATAGGGCAGACGGCCTCTCTCTGTTCGACCTCACCTTTGGTGCCTCCCCTGCCCCGCCTACTACTGCTGACAGCACTATTCGCTCACAGTGGGCGACACGCGATGCTGCTGCCCGTCTTGCTGTGCGTCGCCACTTAACGACCACTGAGCGTGCACACTTTAGCCAGTACAAGAGTGCTCAGACCTTGTACGACCCTGTAGTTGCGCGCTACTCTTCCCCTGCCACTACTGCATTGAGCCGCCCCATGCTACCGTACCTCTTCCCTGACCTTGCTGCCTTTCCTACAGTCGCTGACCTCATTACGCACCTCCGCACTAGTGAAACTCGCTACCGCGCTGCGCTCCCTGCTGAGTTCTGCGCCAAGAACCCCCCCCCCCATGTACATCACCCTCTACTACATAGTCACCCGGCTCCCTGACTCTCTCCGCGTAGTCAGGGACCACTTCCTCTCAGTTTGCCCCACCACTCTCACCGTTGACCTCCTCGAGAAGGGCCTCCTAGCAGCAGAGAAGAGCATAGTCGCTATAGGAGCCTCTCGTGGTGACCCTCGCACCCTGTCTTTGAGGGGTGTTCCCGCTCCCCCCTCTTGCCCTCTGTTGCTTCTACTGCTGCGGCCGACCTCGTTGGTTTCGAGCCGGTCGGCGTTGCGTTTGCCCCTAGCGGGAGACCCCGCACCGGCAAGGGCAAGGGGGGCAAGGGCGCTGGAGGGGCTAGCGGGGGCGGTGGAGGTGGTAGTGTAGGCAGTGGAGGGGGTGGGGGTGGTGGTGGGAGTGGTGGCGGGGGTGGCGGCGGCGGCGGCAGCAGTGGAGGCGGAGGAGGCGGCGGTGGTGGCGGAGGGAGCGGAGGCGGCAAAGGTGGCGGAGGAGGCGGCGGAGGCGGCGGCGGCGGCGGTGGTGGAGCGGATCGTGACTCCGCGCAGAGGAGTGGGTCACGTGGTGGTCCGCGCCAGCAGCAGCGGAGTGGTGTGACCCTGTCCCCTCAGCAGCTTCGTGAGTGGTACGCTGCGCGTCAGCGCGGTGGGGGTACTGGTCCCTGCACTTACGTACTCCGTACCGGCGACCGAGCTGGTGAGCAGTGCGGGGGCCCGCACTCCACCCAGCGCTGCTTCGGTCGCCTGAAGAACGCGTGGCGTTGCCAGTTTCCTGAGGCGTCAGAGATCCCTCGCTGGGGAGATCTGTCTAGGGCGGGGGTTGCCATCTTTGATCTTGACTATGATGCTATCCTTGCTGCCATACATTCTGTGACTACTAGTGTTGAGGGTGACTGTTACCTGTGTGTACCGCCTGACCCGGGCATTGAGGTGGCTGCTCTAGGTGCTGGTGAGGCTGCTGCTCTAGGTGCTAGTGCGTCTGCTGCCCCACGTGCTAGTGCGTCTGCTACCCCAGGTCCTAGTGCGTCTGCTGCCTCAGGTGCTGGTGAGTCTGCTCTCTCAGGTACTACGACTGCTCAGGCCTTACACACCTTCACCCTTGACTCGGGTGCATCCCGCTCCTTCTTTCGAGACCGCACCACTCTTACGCCGCTCAGTCGACCGGTTGCAGTCTCCCTGGCGGATCCCTCTGGGGGTCCAGACCTTGCTAGCTTCTCCACTGTCTTACCGTGCCCGGCAGCCCCTTCTGGCACCCTGACAGGTCTCTACCTCCCCTCGTTCTCTACGAACTTGGTAAGTGGAGTGGACCTACAAGATCGGGGTGTTGACCAGTTCACTCCTGCGAGTCAGCGGGTGACCCACTGCACGTGTGCTCGGAAAGGCCGACACTTGGCCACGTTCACCCATCGGCCAGGGTCGAGCGTGTACACCCTTACAACTGAGTCTCCTCCGGCTGCTGAGTTTGGCCAGGTAGCAGCGTCGAGTCAGGTGTTTGCTGCAGCGTCCAGGTCTGGTTCTCAGTCTGCTCCCTGCTCGTGTCGTCTACTGTCCCACCAGACTCTCCTCTGGCACCACCGCCTTGGTCACCCCTCCCTGCTTCGTCTCCGAGGCATGACCTCCCGTGTCGTTGTCTCTGGTCTCCCCCGGTCTCTCCCTCCCCTACCTCCAGGGCCTGGCCCTACCTGCATCCCCTGCGTCGAGGGGCGACAGCGCGCCGCCCCTCACTCCTCCGAGTTTCCTCCAACAGAGGCTCCGCTACAGACCCTCCACATGGACGTGTGGGGCCCTGCCCGCGTCCGTGGGCAGGGGCACGAGCGTTACTTCCTGCTGGTGGTTGACGACTACTCGCGTTACACCACAATCTTCCCCTTGCGCAGCAAGGGTGATGTCACTGAGGTGTTGATCGACTGGATCCGCGCAGCTCGTCTCCATCTCCGGGAGAGTTTCGGCTCAGACTTTCCTGTTCTGCGTCTGCACTCGGACAAAGGCGGGGAGTTTCCCTCTGCCCGTCTGGGAGCCTTCTGTCATGCACAGGGCATCCACCAAACCTTCACGCTTCCAGCCTCTTCACAGCAAAATGGGATTGCTGAGCGCCGCATTGGCATGGTCATGGACGTCGCTCGTACGTCCATGATGCATGCGGCTGCCCCCCATTTTCTGTGGCCGTTTGCGGTTCAGTACGCCGCGCATCAGCTTAACCTTCAGCCCCGGGTCTCCTTGCCAGAGACCTCCCCCACCTTGCGGTGGACGGGGAAGGTTGGCGATGCGTCTGCGTTTTGAGTCTGGGGATCTCGGGCGTTTGTCCGCGACTTGTCTGCGGACAAGCTGTCCCCCCGTGCTGTTCCCTGCGTCTTCCTTGGCTTCCCCCCTGACGCGCCTGGGTGGCAGTTTTACCACCCCACCTCGCAACGTGTTCTGTCCTCCCAAGACGTCACCTTTGACGAGTCGGTGCCTTACTACCGTCTCTTCCCCTACCGCACTGCGCCCCTCCCCCCGCCGCCGCTCTTCCTTGCGCCAGGTCCTCCCCTGGTAGACCCCCTCCCCCCTCAGGGTCCTGCCCGTCAGGTGTGTCCCAGGTAGACGCAGTTGAGCCTGTCGAGGTAGGTGTTCACTCTGGTGCTGCTAGAGGTGCTGAGCCTGCGGGTGCTGGGTCTAGAGGTGCTGAGTCTAGGGGTGCTGAGCTTTGGGGTGCTGCGTCTGGGTGTGCTGAGCCTGGGGGTGCTGAGTCTGGGGGTGCGGAGCCTGGGGGCGCTGGGTCTGCTCGTGTGGCCGCCGGCGGTGCTTCGTCGAGGCGGGAGCCACTCTCTCCACAGGAGCTGCGAGAGTGGTTTGCCCGGCGCTGGAGCCGTGCTGCTCGAGCTGGCGGTACTGGAGCTGCTGGGGCTACTGGAGTGGGTTCTGCTGGATCTGCTGGAGCTGGAGCTACTGGGGGTGTTGGCGCTGGTGTTTCTGCTGGCGCTGGTGCGTCTGAGGGTGCTGCGGTTGGAGCTGTTGGAGCTGGAGTTTGCTGTTGGCGCTGGTGCTTCCGTTGGGGGTACTGGTGCTGTCCCTGCTGGTTCTGAAGGCGCTACGCGGCCGCGACCGTACTTCGTTCCGGCCATGGACGCAGAGATGGCTTCCTGGAAGTCCACAGGCACCTACGTCGACGAGGTTCCCCCACCTGGGGCGAACATCGTCAGTGGCATGTGGATTTTCAGGGTGAAGCGGCCGCCGGGTTCTCCGCCTGTCTTCAAGGCGCGTTACGTGGCTCGAGGCTTCAGTCAGCGGCAGGGAGTTGACTACTTTCAGACCTTCTCTCCTACCCTGAAGATGACCACTCTTCAGGTGCTGCTGCACATAGCTGCTCAGCGCGACTACGAGCTTCACTCTCTTGACTTCAGCACAGCTTTCCTGCAGGGCAGCCTGCACGAGGAGATCTGGCTGCGCCGCCCACCTGGCTTCACTGGGTCGTTTCCTCCTGGTACCCAGTGGAGCCTCCGGCGGCCAGTCTACGGTCTCCGCCAGGCGCCCCATGAGTGGCACGACACACTAAGGACTACACTTGCGGCTCTTGGGTTTGCTCCTTCTACAGCCGACCCGTGGCTGTTTCTGCGCACCGACACCTCTTTGCCGCCCTTCTACATCTTCGTGTACGTCGACAACATGGTCTTTGCAACTGATGACACAACTGGACTTGCCCACGTGAAGTCCGAGCTGCAGAAGAGACACACGTGCATAGACCTGGGTGAACTGCGCAGCTACCTTGGCTTGCAGATCACCCGGGACAGAGCATAGCGCACCATTACCCTGACTCAATCACACATGGTGCAGCAGGTCCTTCAGCGCTTCGACTTTACGTACTCCTCGCCTCAGGCCACTCCTCTGTCTACTCGCCACTCGCTCTCAGCTCTGCCTTCGGATGAGTCTGTAGAGCCGAGTGGCCCGTACCCAGAGCTTGTTGCTGCCTCATGTACCCGATGACCTGCACACGACCTGACCTTGCATACCCTCTTAGCATCTTGGCACGCTATGTTGCTCCTAGCAGACACAGGCCAGAGCACATGGCTGCAGCGAAGAGGGTGTTGCGCTACTTGTGCAGTACGCCGGGCATGGGGCTAGTGCTTGGAGGGCGACGTCCAGTGGTCCTCACAGGTCACGCTAACGCTTCTTGGGCTGACGACGAGGCTCTGCAGCGGTCGTCACAGGGTTACACCTTCAGCCTTGGCTCCGGCTCTGTTTCGTGGCGGTCTACTCGCTCGTCTTCTGTTCTCAGCTCCAGCTGTGAGGCTGAGATCTATGCAGGGGCCATGGCTGCACAGGAGCTACGCTAGCTCACCTACTGTTATAGTCACAATAGGCTCCAATGTGCCTAAAACGAAAGATAGAGTGCACAGCCGGATTTCTGCACAGTGGCTTCAAACGTTCATAGCGTTCTGGTCACAACTTCAAATGACCTGATTCAACTTGGATCTGGAGCGTCTGAACGTCGCCTACAATAGGCAATTTAGATCGCACAATTTGATCAAGTATTGACGACACAGTGTTGGTTTGAACGAACGGCACTATGGCAGCCACTATAGTCTTAGAACACAAAATAGGAAGAGATCTGAAGAGTTACGAGTTGGGAATGACTCCCAGCTCCTACAAACCCCAAGAGCCGAGGTACAGTGATGTGGAACAGTGCCACACTGTCCCCAACCACGAAGGGTCTCGAAACTACCCTTCACTAGGGCCTACACCAAGTGAAATGTTACACTACACAAAGTAATGTAACTATCTTCAATATCTTGAGGTGTACCCTTTTGGCGAGCTTTGAAATCACCTGAGGCTTGACACCAAGGCTCGGGCTCTTCATCACAAACTCATCCTTGAGTTTTTTGATGGGTCTGCTGCACACACCTGCGACACACCGAACGTTCAACACAGGACAAAATAGAAACCGCGCACGACAAAATAGAAACCGCGCGAGACACAAACGACCGCGTAACACGCGTCTAGCGATAACTCGCTATTGACTCAACACACACACTCGACATCATGACTCAACATTCACACACAATTATAAGCATGAAATATATATTATCCCATGCCCTCATACCATTCCATACACACACACACATGCACGCACACGGACAACAAGCCGAGTGCAAACCATAGGGTTGCACCAACAAACTCCCCCTCGGATTGTTGGCCTTAGGATATGTTGCTCTGTCAGTTCAGAGCCATCCCAGCCAGCTTGCAACACTTCCAATGCTGTTGCTCCACCAGCCTCTTGGTCATCATGTCAGCCGGCTGCCCCGTGGTCTTCACGTAGCGCAACTCAACTTCACCCGCGGTTACCATGCTCCTCGTCCAATGCCACTTCACCCTCATGTGCTTCGTGAGTCCATGCAACACAGGGTTCTTAGCAAGAGCAATGGCACCCTGGCTGTCACAATACAGTGGGGTAGGTCCTTGCTGCTCCTCCCCCAATTCAGCCAACAAACGCCGCTGCCACACAATCTCCCGTACGGCACGGAAGAGTGCCATGTACTCGGACTCCACCGAGCTCAAAGCTTGGTCAACCTGCTTCTTGCTCTCCCAAGCAGTTGGGCCTCCACCAACACAGCATATGAAGCCTCCCACACTTGTCATGTCCTCTGGTTCTGATGCATATGAAGCATCCGAGTAGGCGGTGAGGAACAAACGCCCGGGTTCAACACCATCCGCGCCCTTTTGGCGCCTTTGTGCCGCCGCCGAGTATTGCAGCCCAACGGTCGGTGTTTGGCCAAGATACTTGGCCACCCTCATTCCAGCTGCTACCTGCTCCTCATTAGGGCATTGCACAACCCTAGCCAGCTGCCCGGTAGCAAACGCGACGTCCGGTCGGGTGTTTACCGCCGCATACATGAGGCTGCCCACCAACGAGTGAAATCGGCGCCTCTCCTCTTCTCCAACGCTCTCCTCCTCTGGCCCTTCACACACTTGAACCCAGAGGGAAAGGGAGTAGCCACATGACCTTCACTCTGGCCGAAGTTGGCAGCCAACGCCTCCAGGTACTTCCGTTGGTGCACTCGCATGCTCCGCTTCTCCACGTCTCGTTCGATGTGGAGCCCAAGGTAGAAGTTCACGTCACCAAGGGACTTGCACTTGAACTTGGCATGCAGCTTCAGCATCACCTCCTTCACAAGGTCAGAGGAGGGTGAGAATATGAGAATGTCATCCACATAAACCACCATGAAGCTCCTCTGCTCCCCCTCGCCAAGCATGAACAAGGAGTGATCGGCCGTTGAGGGAGTGAAGCCGATCTCCTCCAACACTTCGCGCAGCTTCATGTACCATTGCCTAGGGGCCTGCTTCAGCCCATAGAGGGCCTTCTTCAGCTTCCACACTCTGCCACTACCATCATCAAACCCCTCTGGCTGCGCCATAAAAATCTCCTCCTCAAGGATGCCGTTAAGGAATGCCGTCACAATGTCCATTTGCTTCACCACCCATCCTTTGATGGCGGCTCCCGCGAATAGGGTTCGCAGCGTCGTCGGCTTCACCACAGGGGCAAACAGCTCCTTGAAGTCCACCTTCTCCTTCTGCTGGTACCCCTTGGCTACAAGCCTAGACTTGTAACGCTCGATCTTGCCGTCGGCATCCGACTTGATTTTGAAGAGCCACTTGGACGTTATCGCCGTACGCCCCTCCGGTAGCTCCACCAATTCAAACGTGTCATTCTCCTCGATGCTCTTCAGCTCACTCTCCATGGCCTTCTTCCACTCCTCAGCATCACTACTCTCCAAAGCCTCCTTGAGAGTTGCTGGTTCTCCCGGCATCTCCACCGGAGAGAAGAACGCGAAGGCACACTCCTCGTAGTCACTCTCCTCGTCGTCTCCGACCATCATTGCCGCTCCGGCCAGGGCTGTCTTGCCTTGCTTTCCAAGTGCATCATAGGTCAGCCTATTAGGGGGTTGAACTCTCCTCTTCCCCCTTCCTTCCTCCTCAGCTGCAGGGACTTGAAGGCCTTGGCGTTTGCTGCGGTGTGGCTCGAATCCGTGGAGCACTCGTGGTACGGGAAGGGAGTGACGGTGCACGCTCGCTCACTTGCTGCACCTCCTCTTCTTCTTCCTCTGCATCATTGGCCTCCTCTCCCCCATTCACAAGGGAGGATTGCCTCGTGGTTGTGCTGCCGCTGCTCAGCTCCAAAGGCAGCTCCACATGCTCCAAACCGGAACTCTTCACCTCCCCAAACCGCACGCCTATCTTCGCCTCATTCTCCGCCTTCCAATCCTTGTACATGAAGTTCTCCATGAACTTGCAGTCCCTGCTCACCAAGAACTTCTTGGTGAATGGGTCCCAAAGAAGCCATCCCTTGCTGTTTTGAGCCATGCCCAAGTGCACGGCCCACACCGCCTTGGCACCAAGCTTGTTGTGCCGAAGATGCTTAGGCACAAGCGCCATGCACATGCACCCGAACACCCGAAGCATATCCACCTTTGGCTTCCTTCCTAGCCACTCCACATAGGGCACCCATTTGTCTGCTCCCACATGAGTCAAGGCTCTGTTCTTGGCCACACACGCGCTCCGCACCGCATCAGGCCAGAAATAGTCGGGTAGCCCGGCTTCAATGAGCAACCCGCGCGCCGCCTCCGTGATTGTGCGGTTCGCTCGCTCGGCGATGCCGTTCATGGCAGGGGAGTATGGCATGGTGAGGGAGTGCCGAATACCATTCTTCTTCAGCCACAACCCAAACTCCTTGCTCAGGAACTCTCCCCCCTCGATCGGTGCGGATTGACTTGACTAGACGGTCTTGTTGCCGCTCCACCATCGGGAAACCAATCCGTCTTCAACGTTTCAGCCACGTCGCTCTTCCTGGCCAGCACGTACACCCAAGTCATACGGGTGTAGACGTCCACAATAGTGAGGAAGTACTCAGCTCCAGCAGCTCCAAGCTTCAGGGGGCCCACCACGTCCATCACCACCTCATCAAGCGGTGCCTTTGCCGTTGCCTCCGAACTAGAGAACGGAAACGGGTGAACTTGGCTTGAATGCACGTCGGGCAGCCAAGCACCTCATCGGGCTCCCCCTTCACACGTATGCCAGCAACCATCTCATT